TCCCTTCCCTTCCCTTCCCTTCCCTTCCTTCTCCTCTTTTTCTCCCCTTTCTTTTTCCTATGTGTAAGGGCTGCCTAAGTGGTTGTGGAATGAATACCCTGAATATGCAAAAGTAAAACAAACCCTAGAGATCTAATAGCAGGGATGATTCTTAATGATATGTATAATGTTCTTCTTCTTTACTACGCTTTTATATTAGTTCCTCCTTTGAAGGAGTAAAATTACTAAATTTCTACCAGTTAAGCACTTTATATCAACAGTTTCTCAAATAGAAGCCTTTCTCCAAAATTGGGATGACTGAGTCAATCCCAGTTTCTGAAACCAGAACAGATAATGGGACTTTTTATGAATTGAGCTGCAAAAGAAAGTCTGAAATTACATTAAGCATCTCAGTCAGCATGATTTTTTTTCCTTTATGGATTACGTCGGAAGTGTTGTGAAAGATGGATGTCTTTTTTCCTTTTTTTTTCCCCTGCTATCTGTCTCTGTGAATTCAACTGAGATTTCACATACCTATTAAGACTTTCTCAACAATGATCTGAGTCTTCCAAGTTATTAGACTATCGCCCAAACAGCCAGTCCTCAAATTACTGACAGACTACGATGATTACTTTAAGGTGTCCAATGACTGAATACAAATTATGCTTTAATAGCGGTATGATTGTGCTAAAGTAATTGAATTTTCCTGGCATCTTTTCAATTTATTGGCTGATTAATCATGAAGCAGAGGGAAATGTTTCTTTAAAATGAGAATTCTTGGGATACAACAGAGAACAAACTTGAAAATACCTGTGGTCATATTAACACTGGAGTCACTACCGCAACTGTTGTTCCCACTCCTGGAATTAAAATATTAAGTCTCCTGTCACAACGATATTTGAGATTTTTTTTTACTGCCTACTCCACCTACCATGCAGAACTGGTTTTGTAATAAATTATCACAACTTTGCCTGGTTTTATTGCTACAAAACAGAAGAACGAGTTCCTCAGACAGCTTTTTCTTATAGTGCATAACTTTACATCTTGTAAGAAGCCCCATGCCAAGCTGAAGTGATGTCATATGGCAGCTGTTTTTTTGCATCAGTGTATTTGCAGAAAGTCTTCCGTGGAGTTCTCTTTTACTTAAACCTGGGCTAAACTACCATGGGAATGCATTCTCAGGGCTGTGTGAGCAGCAGTGCACTGTGCAGACGCTGTGGGAAAACAGAGAGGGAGAAAACTAATCAAACTGTACAAACACAGGAGTCTAGAGGTAATGTGAGAAGCAAGAAGATGATTACATTCAGATTTGCTTCAGATGTGGTTGACTTCATTTGTGCAAATGTAATTCATGTTAATAACTTTCTGGACAGCTGACTGGATAAAACTCAGCCAAAAGGTTGTCCTAACAAAATCATACTATGTATGCTTCAGTGTCTAGTTTGAGATGTGTTTAAACAAGTTATAGGAACCTTTGCTGGGGTACGTGAATCCTTTAGTTAAGGTGAATGAGAATTTTCCTTCCAGTCCAGCTTAGTTTCAGGCAAGAGGTACTCTTTTTCAGCTTTTCTTTATTTAATAACACGGAGGAGCTTCATTTTAATCTTTGTTGTTTATTCACATATGTATATCTCTGGAAATTTATTCTGATGATATAATTCAATTGAAGAGCATTTGCCATAGTTGGCACAGGTGCTTTCTCCCTACTATTTAAAATTCTTATCTCCCACATTGGCAGAATATTTAACTTGATTCTGAAGCTTTGATGTAGTTATACAAATAAGCTGTCTGGTTTCATGAATTCTGAAGTACGTTTACATAATCAAAATGGGAGACAATGGAACATAAGTATCTTACAATGTTTTATTTACCAGGTGAAATTAAGATATAGTGGTAAAGAGCAAAGAGTCAAGAATCTTAGAAAGCTAAAAGCTCTAGAAGATCTGACAGAAAACTCATTGTGTGCTTCTAGCCCTTAAAGACTTTCTAAGTTACTGTGTATCTTAAAATAATTTTTAAATGGCATTTATTGTCTATTTTGTGGTGTTTCAGAAGATTATCGGTCTTTTTCTTAGGCTCTCTGATGTGACCAAGCGTTTGATACAGAATGCTTGGAAGTAAAAAAGGTTTATCATCTACTTAAATAAGTTGTCTAATTTTAAGGAAGGG